CTGAATTCCGGAGAGTAGTTAATGAAGAGGCTGCTAAAGCAGAGAGAAATTCCACTTTATATTTGAATGTACTCCTGCTTTTAAAGAAGATTTTCTCTTAAATGGAAATCCAAGTTCTCTATACAATTTTTCATGAAAAATCTCAATAAAAATGACAAAAAAGAAGTTATTATTTCAACTCAGTTTTATACATTTTTTACATAAAATTTATGTATGTATTGTTATTGCTCATCAAATCAGTATGACTTTGCTATTATATTCCCACAGAATTTGTTTCAACATCATATATTTCATTGTTAATTTTCAAAAGACCTTGTGGGAGCCACATTAAAGTCTCTGAGGAAAAAGAAAAATACCTTGTGACCTCACATATCAGTTTATTTTTTATTTGAATTGTGTAATAGATAATGCACTAGAACACCAGAATGACATTGTTCTTAAGTGCCATTAAGTTGAGAACAACTCTTAAGAGACCATGTGAACAATAGTAGATATACACCCAGTCCTATCTTACATCTTCCTCATCAATTCTGACATACTTGAGCTCTTTGCTGCAGTCACTGTGTTAATCTACCTGGATGAGTGTCTTCTTTTCTTTCGCTGACTGAAGTTCTCTTTTGTAACTACTTTATGATGGATGGGGGTGATGATTTAAAAGAGGGGAAAGGCTGTGGGATTTATTTAGGCAATGGATTTGGCAGCCATGATGATAGAGTGTAATTGTTGGTCCCACTTGATAATATGAGGAGTTGATGGACTGTGTGGTTAGTAAAGGCTCTCCTCTGATCCTATAGAAAACTAGAGAGAAATCGTATGAGGCAAGGACCAAACATTAAGAAAATTACTGTAAGAATGTTGAAGAAGGAGAGAAGCCAGAATAGTTAAGAGAGAGGAGAAAAATTTGTTGGTTTTATATGGTTGCTCAAAAACTTGCTTTTAGGAGTACTAGGGCAACAATGGCCTGTCTTTGATAAGGGATACAGAATATTTTGAGATTGTTTTTAAGTATAGATATTTTGGGGGTTAAAAAGGCACACACACAGACTTAATCCAGTTGGTTTATAAGCATCTTTAAATCGAGTTGTAGATGAAGAATACTTCTGAAGTAGAGCATTGAGTCATATTATTTGACAAGGAAAAGGTGTGATTATAATACAGGAGAAAATATTGCTTATTGCTTTAGTGCACTTAATTGAAAGTAGGCTATTAGCATTTGAAGCAGAGAGGATTATGTTATCTATTAGCTGACCTGAAAGTTATTTTGTTGGGGTTCAAGGTGTTATTTTCTATAGTCCAATGAGATGGAACAGGAGTGGCTACATATGTCCTCTGTCGTAAGAGGAGACAAATCCAACAGTCTTTAGTGAGGGTTGGGCTGAAATTATGTAGAACTTGGAAAGATGGCATTTTAAAGGCTTTTAATAGGGAGTTTGGGTCAACTGGCTGGATGAGTTTCTTTTAATTGATGGGTACTGGGCTTTGTATACTTTCAGGAGAAATTTTGTTATTGATGATTAGTTATTAACTTAAAGTGCTGGCTATACTTCTTAAGTTTTTGGATATTTTGAATATTGGAATGAAAACAACTTTAGTAATTATTTTGATTACATGTTTCTTTTAAAAAATATAGGGGCTTTAGATATAACTTGAAATTGGGAAATGATACTCTAATGTACAGTTTAACAAGGAGTTTTATATTTATTTGTAGGTTTTTTTTAAAAAATGGTTACAAGAAAAGTTGGGGGGTGGAAAGAAGCTTATTAATAAATTTTAAGACTAAGTAAAACCATATTAGTGTTGAGACGAAAGTACATTGAGTGGTATTATTTGACAAGGGAAGGATGTGATTACAATTGCTTTAGTGCAGTTAATTGAAAAGAGAGAGGTAACATTTTCAGGGAGAAGGAATATGTTATTTTACCAGCAACATACACACACATTTAAGGCTTTTCTGGGAATACGTTAACATTGTGTTGATCACTTCTTGTGGCTCTGAGGAATCCAGGACCCCCTCATTCTGATTACTCTTCTGTAGCCAAGACTCATTTGGGGCATTGCTGAGCTAGGCGTTTATGAGAACTGCATTGGAAGCACGTCTTAGGGGGCTTCTCTTCTGTCCCTTTACTTGCTTCAAGCATTTTTTTTTTTAATATTTATGGCTATGTGAATGTGACGAGGCTTTTTTTTTTTTTTACAATGGGAACGAAAGCTTTGGCGTGAGTTTTTTTTGGGCATGTTAGCTGAATGAAAAGATATCTGACAGCAGTTTTAAGAAATTTGTCTTTTAACTATTCTTTCCCTCTTTCAAATTTTTATTGTTGAACACTGAAATAGCAGCAGTTAAAAATTAGTTTGTGTTACTTTTGTGAGTGAAATCTTTTTCTGATGTTTTCTCCTAACAGCAGAGGAAGACTGATTGATGCAATAGGAATTTATTACTATTTTTCTTATGTCACTTAGTGTTTAAGTGAATTTTGAAAATGGCAGGTTTTTTAAATTTGGATTTTCTTTTTCTCTGAACTCTGGCTGAAAATTTAAGGTTGGTGGAAACTACTGCTACAGAAAAGAGCAACAAAACATTTTTTTAAACTTAAATTTTTTTTAAGTGA